CTAAACCCTAAACCCTAACCACATCCTGAAATTGTCCACAGCCCGAAGTTGCAGGTCCCCGAGTCCGGAGGTGAGCACCCAGAACGCCCAATACTCCTCAATTCAGGAATACCTGGACCCCAAAAGTATGTAAGATAATGGCCCTTTATAGCTTTTGGGCCATTATTTTATCTACTTTGGGGGTTTAGGTATACCTTACTTCAGCTGTGATTTAAGGTATAGATTCCCTAAGTTCTAGGAAATTTTGATAGGGGCCCTGACGAAAGTATGATTTAACCTGTATCCCCAAACCCTACGAAATAGTAGATTATAACCCCTTAGTTATAGGGTCCAGCCCTGGGAACGGTAGGCTTTTGGATGCCAAGGAAGGTCTATTCCTTCATATAGGGGCCTTAATAATTAGAATAGGGTTTCATGGGGGTTCCTTTTAAGGGTTCCTTCAAGGGTTCTATAAGGGCTACTATAACGATTTAGGGTTTAGCGGCCTGAATAATTAGAACAGGGTTTTGGGGCCCATTATACTACGAAAAATCAGGAGCCCCCAAAATTGTATGGGTAATTATTGAGGCCCCTACAGTACTTCAGGGCCTTAAACCCTGAACTCTGAACCCTAAGCCCTAAACCCTAAACCCTAAACCCTGAACCCTAAACCCTAAACCCTAAACCCTAAACCCTAAACCCTAAACCCTAAGCAGAATCCGCTGCCGAGGCTCGCCCTGGGCTGGTCGGCAGAGGTGTTCTGGCGGCTTTGCAGAGGGAGATCCGCCAAGACGAGACGGATCCTCAGTTTGGGTTTAGGGTTTAGGGTTTAGGGTTTAGGGTTTAGAGTTGTTTCGCCCTGTGGGGCTTGGGTTTGGGGTTTAGGGAGTTTAGGGTTTAGTTTGGGGTTGTGTACAGTAGGGGGTTTAGGGTTGAGTTTTTAGAGTTTAGGGTTTATAGGGTTGAGGTATCCGCAATTTAGTCTGAAATTTGCCTGCGTTATGACAACTCCAGCATACATAGGGAGCTTCAGAAGTCAGGCTGATGCTAGATGCTGAAAGGCTTGTCAGCTCGCCAGTTTGGTTGCTCTGGAGGTGGGCACTTTACTTTCAAGAAGTGCTAACTTTCGAAAGTTCTGACAACCCCCTCCCCTAAACCCGGAACCCCAATTCCTGAACTCCGACCCCCCCTTCTCCTCTGCAATGCAAGCGCGCCGAGTAGAAGAATCTGAGTATACTGAAGACTTAGGCCCAGCGCCCGCCCACGACAAGGAGGCGCAATCACGCTTGGGACGTTCTTGTGGAGGCAGCGTGAGAGTAGGGTCTGGGAATTTTTCGGAACACATGTGCTGGGCTTGGGGATACTTACGGATGTTTGGTCATTTGGGTTTGAGGTTTATGGCTGATGGTGTGGGAGGGTATAAGTTGGGGTTCCGCACTTCCGTTCGTGGTGATAAGTAAATACAATAGGAATCGTGGCATCGTCGTTGCCCGTGGCAGTTGTTTCGCAGGTTCAGGGTTTCCATGTGTTGCTCTTACAAAGCTTGCAGTTGTAAGTACGTGTGCAGACAATCTCATGCAAATATACCTGCCTCTACACTCATGCGGCATGTACATGCGTGCATTGGTGATGCATGCATGTACATAAGCGAGTGTACAGATATGTCGGGATTTACACAAAGGATGAACTGCACGGAATTGACATGTCGATGTACCCACCATGCATATATGTACGCATCCATGTGTCTATACATGTGCACACGCATGTTTGTATGCTTGCGTTTGTGCCTTCGCACATTGCGTGCACTCCTATACTCAACAATGCAGGAATGAGCTGTACTTTGCAGCATGCAGTGTAGATCTGGGATAAGCCCTAAACTCCAAATCCTAAACCCTGAACCCTAAAGCGCAAGACCCCAAACCTTAAGTCCCTGAACCCTACTAATTCCCAAATCACAAACCGCAAAGTAACTACCCATAGGCCCTAAAGCAGTTCCTTTTTGGGATTCCCTAATAGGATTCTAAATATGAACCCCAAAAAGGAACTACTTTAGGGCCTATGGGTAGTTCCCAAATCATAAACCACAAAGTAACTATGGCAGGGCGGCCCTCCTCCAAGATTCTGCTTGCTCTCAGCGCCGGCGCTTTCTTGATGAGCTCTTGGCCTCCCGGCCTGAGCATCAGACTAAGACGGGACACGGGTTTAGGGTTTAGGGTTTAGGGTCTAGGGTTGAGGGTTTAGGGCTTTTAGGGTTTAGGGCTTAGGGTTTACAAGGTTTAGGGTTTAGGGTTCTCGGGTCTAGGGTTTAGGGTTGAGGGTTTAGGGCTTTAGGGCTTTAGGGCTTAGGGCTTACAGGGTTTAGGTTGAGGGTTCAGCCTTCAGGGTTTAGGGTGGGGCCGAAGCCCGAAGAATCCTTACTGCTCTCTACATTCAGAACTGAACCCTCATCACTCAGGCCCGCAACAAAGAAAACCAAAAACTCTGACGTGGGTTTAGGGTTTAGGGTTTAGGGCTCAGGGTCTAGAGTCTTCCGTGAAACTACCGAGGACCGTCTCTTACTCCGCCTTTCGTAGCAAGCTGGACAATCGCTGGGGCTGCTTGACTTCGCATCGCTCGTGCCTGTTCCTTCCCCTACCTGGACCCCAAAAGTATGCAAAATAATGGCCCTGTATAGGTTTTGGGCCATAGTTTTACCTTCTTTTCGGGGTTTAGGCAAACACAAAACCCTGTGATCCTGTCTGTCGAGGCTTCCTACTGAATGGCGTGGTCTGCTCAGATTTGATAGCTGTTCGAGCCATGTCGAGCATGTGGCTTGCAGCAAGTAAGAGCCCTCAAGGAGGCGCCAGTGTGGCTTGGAGAGTTTGGAACCAACGGCTACTGGATTTCGGACGGCTGGTCTGCGGAGGCCATTCAGGATTCCAAATGGGAGTTTCCGAAAATCAGGGTACCTTATTTTGGGGTCCTTATAATAAGGATCCTATTATTTAGGATATTATATTAGGGTCCCCTATTTTTGGAAATCCCCAAATGAGCCATCTCAAGAAGCCGTTGGATCCTGAGAGGTCGGAGAAGTGCTCTGGCTCAGCCACATCCTGCGGTACATGCCCCTTGGCTTCAGGATGCAGGGTTTTAGGGTTTAGGGTTTTAGGACCTTCGGCTTTAGGGTTTAGCGTTTTTGGGTTTAGGGTTTAGGGTCGCGAACTTGTGAATTGGAGGCAACATCTGCACCCTCAGCCCTAAATCCTAAACCGTGCAAGCTGCAGGCAAGAGCATGACCTGGACTATGCTTACTGGGCGCTCAATGGCACCGCGGTCGCAGATGGGTTTGACCATGAACACCTAGAACCTTGAACCCTAAACCTGAAGCCTAGATTCCCACAACCTTGAAGCCTAAAGCCTCAACCCCATAGTCTAAGCCGTCTAAACCCTAAAGCCCCAAACCCGAAACGCCTAAGCCCCGAACCCTGAAGTCTTAAATCCCAAACCCTACAAGCCCTGAGCCCTATAAGCCCTCGAAACTCAAAGCCCTATAAGCGCACAAAAGCCCGAGCCTTCAACTGGATCTAGACCCTAAACCCTATAAGTCCTAAACACTATAAACTATAAACCCTATAAGCCCAAACCCCATAAACCCTATAAACCCTTTGAACCCTATAAGCCCTAAACCCCATAAACCCTATAAGCCCTCTAAACCCCATAAACCCTATTTGCCCTATAAGCCCTATCAACACCTTAAACCCTATCAACTCTATCAACCCTATAAACCCTATAAGCCCTAAACTCTATAAACTTATAAACCCTGTAAACCCTATAAACCCTATGAGCCCTACAAACCACATTCATTCGACTGAGGCTCTGCAGAATTGTGTAGACGAGCTCGGCGGCGACTTCCTTGCAGCTTCCCATTACTGGTGCAACTAGCTCTAGAGAAGCTTCTCCTATGTGTGCAGAGCATTCATATGGCAAGAACGACCATGAAGTTAACGTACCTACAACGCGAAAACAAACTCCAACCAATCTTGTCCAGATCAGTGGAAGATCGCATCAGAACATCATCAAAGGCACAGGAGCCCATGTACTTTCTTATGCTCATTGATGTAGCTACGTACGTGTTACGTAGCACCGCAGCCGTCAGAGTACTACCACTGAGAAGAACAGCAAAGCAATAACAACAACAGGGAAACACCACCGCCAGTAACAGCATCAGTAACAGCTACAGCAACACAGGTTCATGCCACAGTGATGCACATAACTGTAGCAACAAGATGATGAACAACCATGCCGGCAGCAACACCCGCACAATCACATCGCTTCGAGAAATCTCGGCAACGGCCTTGGTGTCATGGGTGGAACCGCAGTGATGCAAGTGAGTCCTCCTGTCCAGATCCAAAAACTGGCACCCTGCCTACCCATGGGCCCCATAGTAGTTCCTTTTTGGGGTTACCTTATAGGATTCTATATATGAACCCCCAAAAGGAACTACTTTAGGGCCTATGGGTAGAGAACTGTCCATATCGGTGGCGAAGCGAACCTAAATGCTGCGCAGAACTGGCAAGCTGACGGAGGATGTACTCTAGGGGCCGGAAAAATTAGAACATGTTTTCGCCCATAATATATTCGAGTATCATGAAAGAAGGAACCATAAGATACACTGTCAGAAACTATTGCGCGACCCCTGTGTTTGACCAGAGCCCCGGACGTCCAGGAATCGAGCGTTCGAGTTGATGTTTGCGGTTGATGGTTTAGCACGTTGAACTATACAATGAAGCAAGATTTCACGACTGTAGACGAAAATAAATCCTAAACCTAAACCCTGTAAACCCTAAGCCCCATAACCCCTATAAACCCTATAAGCCCTCTATGAACCCTATAAGCCCTAAAACGCACAGGTCTGGCAAATTTCACATCCAAGCGTCCCAGAGTGAGGTCGCGACCACAAAAATATCCAGCAAGTTCCAGGACCTGGGCTTTGAAGTAACCAAGGAGAAAGAAGTATAGACTTTTATTTCATAATGGTTCCTTTAAGGAACAGGTCCCCCCAAAAAAGTATGAAAGTATGGGTACCCCAAGCCCCAAGCCCTAAACCCTAAACCCTAAACCCTAAACCCGCAACCCTAAGGATTTCTCCAAAGCCCAGGGACCAGTCCGGAGAGAAAATGAAGTTCCGGCCGTCGGCTCGGATTCGAAGCACCAGCTCCAGCAGAAACCAAGCGGCATAGACCTTATTTAGTTTTGGGGTTTAGGGTTTAGAGTTTAGGGTTTAGGGTTTAGGGTTTAGGTTTAGGGTTTAGGGTTTATAGGGCCTTATTTGGAAAACGATGAAGAAAAACGGCTCTCCCAAACTTTCAGGAGACTTCTCCCGCCTCCTATGGCGGTGCATCTGCGAGTGCTAGCTTACAGCACCTCTTGACAGGAGCAGTCTTTGCAAAGACCAAGGTACGACACCAAACACCCTTACCCTAA